ACAGAGACAGACAGGCAGAAGAAAAGGCTGTGAAAAGGTCAGGTGAGCACAGTAAACGAAGTCGAATATGACATACAGTGGGGTGATGGTAGTTTGAAGTCAGAAGTCAACTGCCAGTTAATAGACTTTTTTCCCGTATGAGTATACGTTGTCCAGGATGCACAACGTGGAGGTAAGTCTATTGCGCACCCCGAATCATGAAGTCAATGTCTACTATCCTGTGACCTATACATCAGCAGAGGTTCTGATGAAATTCACTCAAAGGTGGCTTAAGAGACTGACATCCTGTTAGCTCCTAATACCATTGGTCTATCAAAGAAATGAGTTTGAGATCACTTTAAAGATCCAGTAACTCTTTCAATAAAGATCAAAATCCTTATTATTTATTTTAATTTTTGGGTGTCTGGAGACAATAACGAAAATAGTTTATTTGATGATGAGAGCGTTTACACGTATTAAATGCATGAAATCGATTTAAATTAATCCTTTTTAAAACATAAGCGTTCATAAATCCTTATTCTTTAAAAATTATCACAAATTCGACGCAAAATTAAAATCACAACAGTTAATTTTGTGATAAATAAAACAAATGAATTTAAATCTCTAAAAATGCACTTAAAATTTTCAACGTAGTAAAATCTCTTTTGCATATTATCATATCAAATTTGTGGGTACAATTAAATTTTTGCAGGAAGGAAGTTATTTCACGTTATCTACACCTTTATCAGGTAATATTAAATATACATTTTTAATTTTATTACACGAACTGATATGCTTTTATTAGGATAAAGCATCCTTAACTAAATGGGCAGCTCAACTTTTTAAAACTTTTGACTCAGCGCGAATGATAAATTAGTAGGATAAAAATCGGGATATTTCTAAATATTTTTTTGACTTGCATCACAAATTCCCATTTACAGCCAGACGTAATAAATATTTATTTTGATTGAAATTAAAGCAAAATAGTCGTTAATTCAAAAGCGACACAGCTTGCATAAAAGGAATAATTTAATAAATTGAAAAGGAGATCAGAGCCAAGTGAAAATGAGGCGAATATTAAACATCTCCCATCTGGACAATTATTTTGTTTTCAAGTGCTCTATTCCATTTTCAATAAAATATTGATGGTAGTAGCCATGGTAACAAATTAAATGGAAATTCTAATGTCTATCAGACGCTTAAGGTAACAATTGGACAAATGTGATTGTTGAAAGTAGAATTTCAGGAATGAAACAACCGATCTCAAAGGAAATTGTTCCAATATTAAAATTAAAACATAAACCCATGTCAAATACTTGGAATTTACTTTGAATACGGTCTGTTGCATACACTGAATAAAATTAAAACTTATTTGATCCATGTCAAGCAAGGTCACTGCAATTACATGACAGGGGGAAGTTGTATCTGCTTTCCCAGTTTAGTTTAGGACAGGTGAATTACTTGTTGTTATTTATGAGGATTACGTTTATCAAACTTAGAAGTAAAAAATGGAGTTTTGTGGTAAGATTGTTTACCATATTTAACCAATCAATAGTCACTCCATATGGTGGATTTGAACCTGTCGAAATTTCAAGGTGATGAATAAATAACTTCGAAAATGTGAACTTTAACTACCACTTTTATTAAATTAAACACCACTTTTCGATAACTCAGCTGCTCTCGTTCATTTATTTTGACAATTGTTCTATTTATTGATAGCCGATTTAAGTTGCTCCTGTTTGAGGGAAATTTCTAAACTTTTTCTGCCACACTTGAATTACGGCGATGGAATAGACACCGCAGACTTTGTCAAAAGCCTAAGGGTTTTAGTCCAAATGGTTGACAATCAGATATGCAACATAAGACATTTAGTGGACCCCTCCCCACGCACACTCCACTCAGCTATTCACAAAAGCTCTGTTCTGTTTCCTCTTCTATTGTTTGTTTGGATGTTTAAGTACTTGCAAAGTAAGGCTTTGCATACTTGAAATAACTGATTATATTTCTTATAAGCTTCGCATTTCTTAGACTAGTCAACGTATCGAAATACTCATCATATTGAAAATATTTGCTCTTTTGACAAAATCTGGAGGTAAAAAAATAAAATAACAAATCATATACCTAGTCGATTATACGAGGTTTGAATATTTTAAATACACTTAGTTTTTTCTATTAACAGATTTAACGTCAACTTTAGGAGTTCTAATGTATATCATCACGTGACATTTCTCTTTTGCTGTCTCACACTATACCCTGACGTCCAATTGTCACTCTTATTCCATTTGACAAGTTTTACACAATGACTCATTGTAAGGATTTAAAAGAACTTTTATAATTCTAAAATATTATCACTTAAAAATGTTATTTTCATTATTTTTCCTCTTCGTCCATGTTATTTTTCCATAACTTCATTTTAGCTAAGGCAGAAAGTTTGCCATCAAGAAGATAAAAAAGATATTATATTGTTAATTAAATCTTAAATAGATTGGGGTGAATACAAGGTTTTACTTAATTCTAACAGTAGTATAAGTATTCCACAGCACAGACGAAACGGCGTACGATTCAAATGGTGTAAAACGCAAAAAAAGTACTGAAATTGTTAAAGCACACTGTACTGTTAGGACATATCATGGAGGAATGCTTACACAGTAATTCGAGCACTTGTGAACTTTAATTGCCAAGCAATGGTAATCCATGTACGAAACAGATCTACTGCAATATTGTGCATTAAAAGAACTGGATACGTTCATTTGGCCAGGGGATTTGATCGAATGGGAACTGATTTTGAAATAAATGCGTCCCAGCTAATTGAATAGGATTTTAACTCACTACAATAAACATTTATGCGCTATTCGCTTTTGAAAGGCAAAGTTTTGCTAGGTTCTCAATTGAATTATAACTTTAATTAAAATTTAGCAAGATAAATAAAGTCTTTTTAAGTTAATTAATAGAGAAAACCTATTAACTTTATTTTGAAAAGTCTATTGCTTTAATCTATCGCAAACTTGCTAAGTTTCAATCGTAAGCTGATGAACTGAAGGAAAAAACGATAAAAGCCTTAAAAAGAACATTTTCAGTGCCAGTAGACACTGAAGATTGCAAAAAACTTGCTGGAATTTAGAGCATTAAATTAGAAAATTTTTGAACTTGAACTGCACATTTATTAAATACTTAAATTAGTTTTCACCAGAGTAATTGTTAAATATTTCGCTTAGTCAGACATTTTAATGTTTTTATTGTCGATAATCTGCAATGTACTTCAGAAACTTTTCTTACTCCATGATTTACCAAAATAGCACAACGGACCCATGTAAATCAACTTTACCTTTTTTATAAATTATTTCCCTTTTTAAAAATTGTATTTGCTTTTTCTATTTAGATAGATCCGTTAAAGAGGCTACTTGATTAAAGTAAAAAAGGATGTTAGAGCAATTGTGCACCCACGCTGAAAGTGATTAAAGTATGAAGTACTGAAGTAAAATACAGAGGTCACCAAAAGACACATTTGCTTCAACGCTATTACTCATTGAGATAACATCTCCAGTGTCTACCCACTTCCCCGATTAACTTCCACTATATGACCAAAAAATTCAATCACTCTCATTGCTATAACCTAATATTATTAAATATTAAATTAGCCATTTATAAAAAGGCAGGTTTTTGTTTTACTGGAACTTTCTAAATCCCTGACCACAACTTAATTCGTTACATTTTGCCGTCTCTCATTTGGCAAAAAACTGGCCGTCAAATAGAGTAAATTTGGTACATTATTTTTCAATGATACAGAAAGCTATTTGTTTAATGTGCTTATTATTGGATAAATAACTAAAAGCAGTCATATCAGTTGGCATACGCCACAATGTTTAGAAGCCCATTGTGTTACGAATAGGCACTTTTTGCCAACGTGAGGTTTTTTAAAAGCCGCATATCATTTTTCAGTCTTAAGATACAAAGAAGTTAGATGAGCCAATTTCAGCATAGTTAAAATAATGTATCTCTATTTGTTTAATAATAGCCGTACCAAACGTTCTGCCGTAAATGTGTAGTGATTTATTTATTATATTTACTGTACGTATAGAAGCATGTCGAATACTATAAGTGGACAATCTATTTTTTACTCAAATACTACATTTAATGATTTGGAGATAAACTACTCCTCTTAAAATCTAAGTTTACAGCAGATTTATTCATGTACGGAAAATAATCAAAAACCTAAACTAAGCTATTAATAGCCACTGATTTTATGGTAGTAGACTTTTAGATTGTTTTAGATTTGCACAATAATGAAAACAAGGCAGTTTTAGTTAATCAAAGAAATATTTGTCTCTTAACACATACTCTGTATGATAGATCATTATAATATCTATCGACACTGATTGCTCCCAATTTCGCAACATCATGCTCGCCTGTTTCTAATAAGTTACACCATGCAAATTTAAAGTTTATATTACCTTCTCTAATGCATAATAGATTTTCAAAGTATTTCATTCCAAATTTTAAAATATTCTCTGGTTGTTGACGCAAAACTTCACGAGATAAGCACCAGAGAAGGTCAGCGAATCCATGTGGGACACGCAACTTTGTGTTAGAAAAAGGAATTGACATTTTCTAAATCACAATAACTATTAAAATTAAATAATACTTTCTTGAAAAATTCTAATTTATGGAATATATTTTAAATGACAATTAGATTCTAGCTCAATCAATTCAAATTATTGCGTCTTTTGGTTGATATAGCGACAGGTTAGCAAGGGTCACAAGACCACTTTCATGGAAGCTCTTTTACTTCAAATTAATTTAAAGAGAATTGAAAATCAACGAATTAATTTATAAATATAACAAAACATTTTAAAATAGTCTTTGCACTAACATTTAGTTTGGCAATTATAGTAAATTCATAAAAATAACATAATTCTTGACGATTAAACATATTAATTATAAGATATGGTGTACAATAGCGTTTGTTTTATAATTTTCAAGACTCGCGCCGCATTTAAATTGCAAGGTCGTGGATTTCCAAAATGAATCCGAATTTGGATTATGCAAATATCTACAAAGAAATTTCTGGAAAACTACAAAAGTATGTTCCCTTATTTAGTTAACATCTAGGAAAATCTTTCGTCATGTTAATGCAGATGAATCTAGAAACGACTTTGGTACATTTAGATTTTAACCTTTATATCTTTTAGCTTACATTGCTAAATCTCTCGCTGGAGAGGAAACTTATGAGTATGCTGCTGTCTTTACACTTGGAAAGGCTAAATGCGAATCAATGAGTGGAAAAACCCTTGCAGAAGCTGCAACCCTAATGGAAGCCGGACGACTCTTCACAAGAGCTGAAGAAAATTTGCAAACCACTAGCGCTTTTTCTTCTGGAGAATTGCTTGAAAACGGACTTTCTTGCTTTCTCAAGGCTGCAAAAGTATGCATGATTGAGTTTCACATTACCTACATAGATATATGATTCCTGCATGTCGTTTACTCACGCAGCAAACTGTTACATTTTTGCTGGGGATACTTTATGGGTAATTTAGCAGTAATGTAGCAATATCTATGTTTCGCATAGAAATTCAAAAAGCTTTCAGAGGCCATTAAAGTATACTCCCTAGCTGCTGATATATTTTGTCGTGATGCTCCTCGTGTCACCCATATCTTGATGAAGTGTTTAAAGATTTACGTTATCTCTCGTAAGTAGTTTTGCTTTCTAAGTTTGACTTGAAATTATTTGTTTTAGGCGATTACTCCTCTGCATTGAATACCGTTTTTAAAATCCAAACCCTGATGCAGGATGCCCGTGGTTGGTTGTTTTTTTTCCATTAACATCTGCTTTTAGCTACTCATGGTTATGAGCTCGAACTCTTTATAGAAGAACTGAAAGCTATTGAAATTTATCGAGTTCTTCTTGTCCTTTTTACATTGGTTTGTTGCTCCACTCTAACTTCAACGCCCTTTAGCCCCCGAAATCCAAAGCAATATCTAAGGACGGTCCCATGTCACTTTCTATCTACATTGATGAAAATGATGAAAGTGCTCAAGACTCAATCGCGAAATATCTTGATGAAGATTTAGTTGTATACCTGAAATCCCTAATCGTAATTTTTATCTTCATTATTTTCACATTTCTCTAGCTTTCCTATACTTCTGAGGATTTAAATTCATTGGATATCACCGCCAGCTTTTTGCAAGCATATTTGGACTCCTTTCAAAGGGGCATTTTACAGGATCTTGTTGAACGGGTTGCAAATCCCTCTGATGATATTCTATGATTCCTTTTTTAATCATTGAATTAATAACTAAACGCTGTGCCGAGTATTATTTCTACTAATTAATTTACAGTAATATATAGTGTAAATGTTCACAATGGTCAAGATTGTCAATGTTATCGAAAATCGGGTTGCGGGAACATACACAAAGTTGGTTAATAGGTTGGATTTTGTGGTATATTTGATGTAAGGAGTACGTTAGACGTTATTTCTTTTGTTTTGCATGAATGGTTTTTTTTCTAGTAGTATAATCGTTCCACGTCCTGTTTGACCTCATGAGCAAGAGCACTGGCAAGGATAACGCCTATCACTTCGATGACAGCAATAATCACTGGAGCGACTGCGATCACTACGGTATAGTGTTTAAGATTGTTTGATATTCGGTCAACACATCCGACGACATAGTAATTTGAGATTGGATTCACTGGGCACTGTGGACTCTTCATATGTCGATGCAACTCGTCAAAGGTGGCTGAAAAGAGAAGGATGACGTATTAAAACTTCCAACATGACACTTTTGCATTCTTGCAATTGTAACTCTGGGATGAGTAAAAGAGGGCTTCAACGGGGTGAAAATTAGTTAGCTTTTTTAGACATTTGAATGACATTCTCTCGTGCATCACGATTCTTCTGATTATTTTACCAAAAGACTCATTATGCTTCGTCTACCAAGAATAGCCTATTTGAATGCGTTAATTGATTTGAAACCTCTCCTTCCAATTCTGCTTACTGAGCCGCGAATTTTAGTCCATTCACTTTGAAGCCCTCATTAGCATGCCGTTTAACGCACTTCGCTTTATCTATTGTATTACCCGAATGTGGTCATTAATAGAAGAGCAAATTCGTGCAATATCCACAAGGGCAGTAGGTCATTGGGCTGATGTAAATGCTTTTTCCACAGAAAATTTTGATAACTCGTGTACTAAAGCGAAGTCCGGTTCGATACTTCCGTTTTGTCTTCAAACGAATTTCAACGCATGGAGTGGGAAAGCAATAATTTACCTGGCGGGAGTTAGTTGCCGAGGTAAGTCAAGTAGTTCCCTGTGTCTTATTTTACCCCGAATGCTGAACACTATAAGCATTGATCTTCAGGATTTCATAAATGTAAGTGAGTGTGACGTCATTACTTTATTAATGCAAATAATGGTTTCTGGAGGATATGAACAAAATAGATGATGGGCATTATTGGCTATACATAATGAAACAAGCATAGTGTCATTCAGATAGCAGTGCCTTAACCTTTTTTGACAAGGTCAAATCTGATTTGAGTATTAAATTAGTTTAAAAGAAACTTTAAAACGAAACGCTGAGTCTAAGCATAAAGAAAATGATTTGGGGAGACGAGTAGCATTTTGAATGACCAAGTGCTTATTAAGGAAGTCAAAAATCAAAATGCCGAGTGGTAGACTTTTTCTGCCGTACGAAGATACGTTGTCCAGGGTGCACCACGTGGGGGTAAGTCTATCACGCACCCCCGAGTTTAGACTATGTACCGGACACGATTGCCTGGCAAAACACCTTCACAGATTGGGAGTGTACACTCAACCCACATGCCCTCTATGTAACCTACAGGAGGAAATGGAGAAGACCCACCTTACTGGGTGTCCAGCCCTAAAGACAACGACGGAAAGCCAGAGATACTGGGAAGCAAGAAGACAGCTAATGAACTGCTATATATGTACCCCCCACCCATGGGGGAAGCTGAAGTCAAAGTTTAAGGACTAATGATAAATATCATAAAGCCTGTCATTCGAAATAAAAGTGTTTATTAAGGAATTATTCTAGACAAAGACCAGGAAATAAGTTGACTGAATAAAATGAGCAATACACACAGCTTACTGTCCCAATTTTTCCTATTGGGTCTACGAAGTGGAATAATATATATGTAAGGGAATTGAGCATTCGATTTTCTATGGGCTGCTATTCACCATTCACGTTAATCATATTTTAATTGGCCAAAATGTCTGCTTACCATCGTCTAAATTGTTTAGAAGAAATTAGAACTGAAAGATCAGCATTAATTTTAGATTAATAAACATATCATTTTGCGAAAAACGGAGAGGTGTAATAATGCGCTTCCGTTCACCGAAGTACCGTGTCGATTTCACTCTAGTGCCATGTCACTTTCAGATCTTAGATATGGTGGTGCTATTTCATCAATATTTTTGCCCACGTTTCTTAAATTTCCATGTTTCCTCATCTCAAGTCTTAGAAGTTAATTATTTATAACAAATGGCAGGCGTTTTGATAGCTATCATTAACCCTTTAGTTGACTTCGGGCTTCACAGAGGGGAGGAGGAACATCAAAGTGAGAAGAATTCAGGGGGGGGGGGTAGAAGGGTGTTTCAAAGATGTAAAAGAAACAGACAAAGGCTCAGAAAGGGTAAGATGAGTAGTGGTAGGGGTCGAATATGACATACAGTGGGGGTGATGGTTGTTTGAAGTGAGAAGTCAACTGCCGATTAATAGACTTTTTTGCCGCATGAGTATACGTTGCCAGGTGTTTGGTCAAAAAGCTTCATATTCAATTTTGCCCCAACGTTGACTTCATTATTTAATCACATTTAAAAAGCATAATGGTGAGAAATATTGAGCAACTGCAGAGAACAGGAAACCCTTGTAAAAGCGTAGTTAAGTGTCTACCATTTTAAAGTGAATCGAACAATTATTCGTGTTTTTCCCCTTATTCTACAGTGATGTAAACGATGAAAGTGTTAGCAGGCGCCAGTGGCTTAATCATTTCTCCCTAACACTGATTTTACTAGCTGTAACTTGCGATCAAACATTCCCAGTGTTCATATGCTCCAATAAGAATTCACGTGAATATGATACTGCTACACGAATAAGTCTTGATTTCGTCTCAGTACTATCTATGGCATGATTCCCGAGTATGGTAAGGCTCCTGAAAGTGGCTAAGCTTTGTCAACGATATAGAGGAAACAGAGGTATGAATTAAAATACATTTGTTTGAAATGTATGTGGGAGGGTGTTGACTCTGTAATTAATCATTTAATACTATTTGAATTCAATGGCCTAATAATGACAATTGATTATTGATTGGTTGAGAAGTTTCTGCACTCGTGATCACAGTTGCACCTTAACGCCACGACCAAACAGCTCCAATGATAGGAAAGCAACGATAAATGAAAAAATCCCATTTATATCTTACCTTGAAATAAATTAATCTACTCATCCTCAATTGTTAACAGTGTCTCGTGAAACAAATTGAACCTAGAGAAACTATAACGTAGTCTTTACAAATTTAGCAAATTTATGTTTTTCATCCAAAAGTTTTATTTTCGGTAATAATATCATAATAATAGACTTTTCGAATACTATAATTATATTAATTATAATAATTTGAAGTTGAAAGATATAATTTAAATGAGTGCAAGTAACTATGAATTAAAATGAAATTTGAGTAAATAATAAGGCTACATTAGAATCATTAAAAATCTTACACTTTGCTATCGAGTGCAATGAATAAGAAAAAGGTCTAAAATTGTTTCTGTATTTATGTAAATACAACTGTGGGACACGTTATCGCTCTGTGCGTCATCGTATGCCTGTATGTCCGCTCGCCAGGATTGGGAGGTGCGGCCGTGCAACTCTGTGTGCAACGACCGTACAAACAGTGACCAATCATTAACCTCTGTTTAACCTAATCCCCCATCCTGATCATGAGTAGCTCCCTGTGTGTACACTTGATCCGCAATGTACGTCCTGAATAAACGTGCTCCGTGCTACACGTCTGTTTCCTTTATAGCTGGGCTATAGCTTAGCTGGTTCTGGGTGTCTAGCTAGATGTTGGAGAATCTGCCATAGAGATTTCTGAGTCAGTCAGGCTTTACTAAGGTAGCAATCCGCTACACGACTGTATA